ATTTTTTGCCCTGAATCACATACTTCATATGATTTGAGATGTTGAGTTAATTTAATGACGGAAATCATATATGTTGATATGTAATTAGGCACATTATAATTTGCTAGGATTCTTATGTGTAGGGGTATAATTCCAAACCACGGACACGTTCCTTTTAAAAAAAATTGTGTGTCCGACACGCACATGCTCCGACACGCTCGAACACGCGGTCAACATTTGGGGACACGTGGTCAACTCTCTGACACGTTTCGACACGTTTTTTTTACATACAGTCAACTTTTTCTGACACGTGGTAAACGCTTGGACACGTTTTTTTTTTTTAAAAAATCTTAATTTTATTTTGTTAACTAAATATAAAAGAAATAATTTGTAAATTAATTTTTTTCTCTTATGAAATTTGACATGAAAAATTAACAAAGTACGAAAAATTATTTATATTTATATTTATATTTATATTTATGTTATGAAATTTAAATATTTGATTGGTTATATGACTTATTACGGACTCTTATATGTATTAAATATAAATTATATTATATATATTAAATTTTTTATTTAATATCAAAACGTGTCCCAACGTGTCGAAATATGATATTTTTTAGAATTAACGTGTCAGCGTATAGTGTCGTGTCCCGTGTCTGTGTCCGTGCATCATAGGATATAATAGAATATAAATATGTATACATATGAGACTGAAGTCAAATTAAAAAGTTTGATACGCCGTTTAAACCGTTATTTTCTACCATCTAATGGCTATAATTAGTAGGAAACCAAACAAGTTTTCCAGCCTTTCCATCCCATCATTTGTAAGTTTTTCATGCCCATAATTTTCATTTCGTCGGCGCCCTCTGGTGCACCTCCTTATCTCTAAGATTATTAGGCAAATGTCATTTTCATTTCAACTATAATGCACTCTATCTTTTCGACTTCTTTCATTTCCTTTCGGCCATTCATAAAGCTCCACGCCAATAAAATATTAATGTGTTATTCGCTTGGAATCTGGCACGAAACCTTTTTGGTCCTTATGTTTTTTTATTGGTGAAATTTTCACATTACATTTCCTGATTCTTTTCTAGTCTATACGCTAATTATCCTCTTTACAGCATAACAAAAATCAAAATACTAAAGCATTGCCATACCTTCAAAAATTGAGGAAACAGTTTAAGCTAGGGTGTCGATATACCCGCGACATGATACGAAAATTCGTGTTCGAGTTGACTCGCAAAAAAATTCGGGTCGTGTTGGAAAAAATAACACGTAAAAAATTCGTGTTGTGTTCGTGTCGATTCGTATTTTTTTAAATTTTTTTTAATATCGATCCATTTTTAAAAAAAAATTTTGTCAATTATCTTTTTGACCCTTATTTTACGTGTTATTCGTGTCGTGTTGTGTCAACCCGCAAAAAATTTGTGTCGTGTCAGTGTTGAAGATTTTGACACGAATAAAAATTCGTGTCGTGTTGATGTTTATGTATTCGTGTCGTGTCGACCCGTTTTGACACTGTAGTTTAAGCGTCATAAAAATGATCTTATTTGTGGATTAGCAAAATAAAAATGATAATCATAAAGCAAAGGAACGTACGTATTGGTAGATATATATATATTTTTTTTCTCTTCTCGTAACCATAAATTTGCTTAGAGCAGTAGTATCTTTTAAATACAGTACCATATATGGAAGAAAACCAACAAGCATAAAAAGTGTTGATCATCTAATATATACCTTTTTTATATGTAGAAGAAAGCAAGCATTATTAATGTCGGGTGTGCAATATAAGCTAAACCATTGTGCAAATCAGGAAATGAGTGGCATGATATGGGAAAGGATCACACAGCACTATCATTGTACAAATAAGATGTGAACAAACTTTTTTTCTCTCTCTCAAAAAAGAAAAAGAAAAAAAAGGTGAACAAACTTAAAAGAAATTTCATGCATAAACCTGCACTGTCTTCCTTACACTGCAGTCATTTGTGGGACAGCTAATGTTAACTGACCATGTTGTCCCTGCTGTTGATTCTGAAGTGTCACTGCCATACCAACAAAATTTAACACTCTCCATTATCCAATCGTGAGCTGTATGTGCATGGACAATTTTGCCCCTCTTCCATAGAAAATATCTACCAATACAAAATTAGGGATTATTATTTCGCAAAATTAATTTTAGGTTTCATGTTGTAGGTATTTTTATTTTTCGAAAGACTTAGGTTCCAGTGGAAACATGAATGAGAAATAGAGAAAGTGGCTGGAGGAGTCAGCAATCGCGGTGATTGGAAGTGGTAAGAGAAAGAAACTATTAGTAAAATGATATATATATACGGGGGCAGATTATATTTACAAACTTTTTTTGTTTACAAACTCTTATAAATTACACTATCTTCTACTAGTAGAACACTAGTTTTACTATGTTCTCCCGGGATAACATAATGTAATTTGTAAAAAAAAAAAAAAAAAAAGTTTGTAAACGGATCCTTCCCGTATATATATATGGAAGGAGTTATACTGACAAACTTTTATTCTTACAAACTATATTAAGTCTGATTAGTCATACTTCAATCAAGATTCAAGAGTGTATGACTAGTCAGACTCACTGACTTAGTGTAGTTTGTACGAAAAAAAGTTTGTCAATATAACATTTCTGGAAATGGATCTTCTAATGTGAGAAAAAACATGACATGGTCATGTGAGAAGATCACAACCATACAAAGTTAAATCAATGGTTATGATTTTGTAACTACCTAATTTTTTTTCTCTCTCCTCTTTTATTACCATTGATCCACCTTTGTATGGTTATGATTTCTCACTTTACCATGTCATGTGATTTTTCACATAAGAGGATCCGGATCCAACATTTCCCTATATATATATATATATATATATATATATATATATATATATATATAGAGGAGATCTTTTGATTCTGGAGTAAGACTTACAACTCTTACTCTTCATCTCAACCGTTGATTTCCGTCCATCTAACGGTTATCTATAACAATTATTTATTTATTTATTTCAAATAAATAATAATAGTTAGATGGACGAAAATCAACGGTTGAGATGGAGAGTAAGAGTTGTAAATCTTACTCTAGAGTCAAAAGATCTCTCCCTTATATATATATATATATATATATGAGATGAGTTATATTTACAACCCAAATAGTTTACAAACTCTTACAACCATATCTTAACCGTTGATTTCCGTCAATCAATGGTTATCATTTATTGTGAATTAATAATTAATTAATAAATTTAATTTGCGTAAATTTTAACTGTTGATTGACGGAAATCAACAGTTAAGATATAGTTGTAAGAAGTTGTAAACGAAAATAGATTGTAAGTATAACTTTCTCCGATATATATAATATTTCTTCAGTCCCTGGAGATAAAGCTATCTCCACTGAATCTAAAATGACATCATTTTGGATTGTAAGATTAAAAAATTATAATGATAAAGACTAATATAATCCTGCAATAAATTAGAATTACAAAAATAACTTGATTTCAGCCACAAAACGACGTCGTTTTGTGCTCACCGGAGATAACTTATTTTCATTAACTGGAGAATTGTTTTCCCCTATATATATGACCATTTGACACCGATATCAAACTAAAAATTTTGATATCAAATTTTCTTTTGATTTTCATGAATCTAACATTTATAATTTAGTGTGAGTTAATAATTAATTAATAAATATGTTCCAATAAATTATAATTATTAAATTTACGAAAATAAACGATTAAAACTTAGTATCAAAATGATGCATCTCATATATATTTAGAGAATAGAGACAGAATGAAAATCACGTAATTGTGGAAGGAAGGATAAATTCGGTGGACGTATGATATTTTAGGGACATCAGAAATAATTTTTTTTCTTCTAGAATTGTATAAATATTTTTTAATTTCTCCATCCATCATCGGTTTTTCACAATTATATATTTAGGATTTCAATTAAGATCAATGGTTAAACTAAAATAATCTTGTACTAGTTAATTTATGTACTTGGTGATTGGATTCGAATTTTTTATGACTAATAGTCTAATATGACCATTTATTCTTTTAAAACATTTTTATTAAAAAAGAATTAACAGGTTTATTGTAACAAATTCATGAAGTTTTTTTTTTTTTTTAAATAATTCATGAAGTTTTTACTATCATGCACCTTCTATAAAGATTATATTTAAAATAAGTTTATTGATTTATTAACTATTAAAGTGAACATCAACAGTTTTTAGAAAAATACTTGAATATCAAACAAAGTAAAGAACCATTAATTAAGATTTTATGCACTTTGTTGATTAATTACATACTTTATACTTAAATTATGTTTAAAAAAGTGTAATGTTATATGTATAACATTGAGCAAAATTTAACAAAAAGAAATGACAATGTGATAATTATTAAAGAGAAATAGACGGCACATACTTAAAAAAATCTTATCATGCATTGCAATGCCATGTCACGCCACTCCCTTTCGATATGGCCCTGTGTTCTGAAATTTTCTGATGTATGAATTTATTATGCAGGTTATTGTTATTGATGGGATATGATATATGTGGATAACCAGTTAGCGCCCACACACACCCCTCCAAAAAATAAATGCAATGTCGCCTCAGATTTGTATCTTCTTGTGTGAAAAGTGAATATATCATTATAATCATTCATTTTTATTCATTTATAATGAAATGACTTATTTTCATTCATTCATGATTAGATAAGAAAAAAAAATGTGATTTTTAAATAAATAATTATGATCAAATAACATGATTATTAGATAATCAGATTTTAACCATGTTATCTCCTCGTAGATGCTAGAAAGAAGCAAAGGGCTATTTTAGTAAATTAAGATGTTAGACTATTCCAATTTCCAACAGAAAGGATCGCTGAAATTAAAAAAAAATGTTGTCGAGCGAGTCAGTGAGCATCGCAATAGCAACAGCAATAACATGCAGTTGCTTTTTATTTATTGATTTTTTGTATGTAACAAACATAGCAACTCTCTATCTTTCTCTCTCTACAAATTAGAAGCTTTCTCTCTCTAAAAACAAGGTCCTCTCCACCTCCTCCTCGAATCTCTCTCTTTTTCACACGCATAGAAAGAGATAGAGAGAGAGAGAGAGTGTGTGTGAACCAGTTTTCGGTTAATGGATTGGTTCTCTCTTCTACAATTACAAGCATCATTTCTTGGTATTTGTTATTTCATTCCCTTTCAATCTCTCTCTCTCTCTCTCTCTCTCTCTCTCTTATATTTTCTTATTTTTCCTTAAATTAATCATCTTTTGGTTCATATACGGCGACCCATGATGCAGGTTCGAAGAAGTTTTGGGCTTTTTGTGGTGGTAATGCGGTGGGATGAGTGATTCCTTCTTGTTACATAGCTAATGGCTACGGAATCGTCTTTTGAGGGTAACGCCTCCCTAACTAGCTTATTTTATCTCTATATTCATCTGGGTTTCCTCTAATTTTCATTTATATGTCACTATTTTGTTATTTTGGAACTGGGGTGATTGAATTCTACGAAGGATTCGTCATCTGCGTTATGCTCAGGCTCCGGAGACTTAACTCACCACCTAATTTGACGATCCATCTGTTCATTAATCTGTATGGTGTTCTAGCATTGTAACATATCTGATTTTTCTGGGGGTTGATTTAATTTGTTGTGATCTCTCCCTTTGTGCCCTTTCTGAATATTGGATTGTGATTAGTTTTTCTTTTTCTTTTTTATTTCATATTTAGTTTTTAATGAGAGGTTTTTTTTTTTTTTTTTTGTATATAAGAGATAGAGGTTTTTTAATTAAATTAATTTTTTTTTTAATTTTCTCTTGTGGTTCTTCTGGCTTTTGGTTTAGAATCTATTCTATGCCATTTGGGGCCACAGAGTTCCTGACATGAGCGGTGTAAAATATTTTATTGATGCATTATGAGGGAGGTAGGAGGCTTGATTGAAGTAAGCTCGTATTTTATGATATGTGAACGTGCCAGCTACTAAATTAACTGGTCTATGTGTTGTCTATTAGGAGAATATGGAGTCACCTATAAAAGTCTAAGGAAGTTAAGTTCATTTGCCTAATTGGCTGACTTGACTAGTCCATTAAGCGAGTTCTCCAATGGTTTTGTTTTCTACTCTATTTCAAGTGGTTGGGATGTCCTTGTGACGAAAAGTCAACCAGTTCCAGTTGTATACATTTTATTATATTGCTTTTTTTTGGTTATTTTTTAAGTGGTCAATAATCAATATTTTAGAGTATAAGAAAATTGGCCCCTTAACTTGTCAGATAATTTGCTGGACTGATTTGTTACGCATGTAAAAGATAATTGCATTCTATTTGCGTGTAAAAGGTAAAGCTTTTCTGCTTGTAGTCTCATAAATTTTCCATTTTCTTGATGATGACATGTCTAGCATGAATACAAGTTGCTGCAAGAGTCTTTATGGAACTAGATTTGTGTCCTTTATTAATTGGAATTTTATAAGTTGGAATTCTATCATGCATCTAATTTACTGATATAGGTTTCCTTTTTCCTTGATCCTAGGTGTTACACTTGATCCTTCTAAATGCAGTAAGTTGAGTATGGAGGAAAAACGGGAACTTGTATATGAAATATCTAAGTGGTCTCATGGTGCATCCGAGATGCTGCAGTCATGGAGCCGTCAAGAGATTTTGCAAATATTGTGTGCGGAGATGGGAAAAGAAAGGAAGTATACTGGGCTGACAAAGTTGAAAATTATAGAAAACCTTTTAAAAATTGTTTCTGAAAAGAAATCAGGAGGCCATGAAATTGCATCAGACCCTGAACCACATTCTTTTTCTGCACATGGTCAGAAACCAGCTAAAAGGCAGAGAAAAAGTGATAATCCATCTCGATTGCCTGTTCCTGAGAACAATGTTTCAGACAATAATGGCGGTGATGTGGGTAATAGTAATACCACATACTGCAAAAACTCAGCTTGCAAAGCTACACTAAATCAAGCAGATGCATTCTGCAAAAGGTGTTCATGCTGCATTTGTCATCAATTTGATGACAACAAAGACCCTAGCCTATGGTTAATATGTAGCTCTGAGACTCCTTTTCCTGGTATTTCTTGTGGCTTGTCATGCCACCTTGAGTGTGCTTTAAAACATGATGGTTCTGGAATTGGCAAAGATGGTGAGCGTCCTAAGCTTGATGGAGGCTTCTACTGTGTATCTTGTGGGAAGATAAATGATTTACTCGGGTAATTATACCGATGTTTTTCTGTTTCTTAGATGACATTATGTATCCATTTAAAAATTTCTGCTTCTATTTTCCCCTCTTTCCCTATTTTTCTCTGTCTTGGAGTATCTTTTACTCTAGAAGCTTTCAATACGTGCAAATTATTTATATGAATCAGGATTCAGGAAGATTGTATTTAGTCTTTTGTTGTTTACTAGATACATCAGAAGACTTTCGGAATAGACAATTAGGAAAGAAATAAGTTAACGGAGTCTACTTATAGTTCTATTCATTCTAAAAGCCTTCGAATTCTCGTCAACAATATAATAGAGTTAGCAGAATTATTTGGTTCGACTGTATGAAATGAGTCAATAATATAAATGGAAATCTCTCTCTTCTCTTTCTTGGAGTGTCTTCTTCACTAGAAGCTTTTAATACATACAAGTTATTTATATGTATCAGGATTCAGGAAGATTGTATTGTCTTTTATTGATTTCAAGATACATGAAAAGACTTTCTGAATAGACAATATGGAAGAAATAAGTCAACTAGGTCTTTTAATAATACTCTTCATGCTGAAGTTAAAGTCTTCTCCTTCTTCATGCTGCAGTCTTACAATTTTGTGATCAATTGAATACCAGTTAGCAAAATTATTTGGTTTAACTGTATGAAATGAATCAATAATATAAATGGAAATCTCTCTCTCTCTCTCTTAATCCTTTCCTACTTTTATTTTGCTGAGTTCAAAAGGCTTTTAGGTTGTGTATAATAGCGAATAGAATCTTAGCATTATTTAGTTCAAAATTTGCTTTAAATATGCGTAAGACTGCCATTTGAAGATGAATCTTAGGTATGATCAGTATTGTGAAAGACAGAGAGAGAGAGAATGATAAATTGTAAAATATTTTTTTGCATTGCTTAGCTACAGTGATTATTGAACTCTACTCAACACTATGGAAAATTATTGCAATTGTTCAATCAAAAGATGGTAAAATTGTTCCTTTAATATGTGGAGTGTGTGCTATATTCCTTTTAGGATGCAATTTTGGAAAATATGTAGGGTAAGATCATTCTCATCTGGTGTTGTTTCTTAAAATGTATTAGATGCTGGAGAAAACAACTGACAGTAGCGAAGGATGCCAGACGTGTAGATGTACTCTGTTATCGCGTCTCCTTAAGCCAGAGACTTCTACAAGGGACTGAAATGTATCAAAAACTTTATGAAATTGTTGATGAAGCCGTGAAGAAACTTGAACCTGAAGTGGGTCCACTGATTGGCTCACCAATGAAGATTGGTAGGGGGATTGTGAACAGGCTTTCGTCAGGACCCGAGGTTCAGAAACTCTGTGGTTTTGCTCTGGAATCACTTGATTCACTGCTTTCTAAAAGGATCTTGCCTTTGTCACCTAATCCAACAATTCAAGGTTATCACTCTTTTTTTAATTTTATTTTTTCAATTTCCCTTGTGGCTCTATATCATTCTAATAAAGTGCAAGCTCATCTGCTGATTTTTGTACCCAAAATAAAAAATAAAAAATCTACTGATTGGATGGTGATCTGTGCGACAAGCATTGTAAATTTGTTCTATGGAACTAACTATTTTTACTACTTCCATTTGTTTTATCTTAATATTTACTTCTTGTTTGTGTAAACATGCCAACTACTAACTGCTTCACATTTTTAGATGCACATTTGCTGGCTCCAAATATTGTGAGGTTTGAAAATGTCACTGCAACAACCCTTACTGTTATTTTGGGTTCTGAAGATCGTTCTGGAGAAAATATTGCGGGTTACACCTTGTGGCATCGCAAAGCTGATGATGCGGACTATCCAGTGGACCCAACTTGCACTATGCTCCTACCAAGTAGAAGGTTCAGTATCAGAGGTCTTATTCCAGCTACAGAGTACAGTTTCAAAGTTGTTTCCAATGATTCGAGGGAGTTGGGTATGTGTGAAGTTCAATTCTCAACAGAGCATGGTGAGGATGAAGTCCCTAATTGCTCAGCAACAGAAAGGAGTCAGAGCCCAGTAACCAACTGTAGCAGCCTTTCCAATCCGTCATCAGTGGAAGACGAAACTAATAACAGTAATCCATACAGTGACCAGACTGATAATCGAGCCGATAATTACCATTCGTATCACAAGGATAGTAACCAGCTTGCTTCTGGAAATTTATCTAATGGTGCTATTAACTGTTCCAATATAGTTCCCACGGATGCAGATTCTTTGTCAGACAAGCAGAATGCTGTAGGAATGGCTGTCTCCATACCTAGTTCTGATATATTAAAGCTTGAAAACAAGCATTCATCAGAGGAACAAGTCACTGAGGAAATGAGCACTGATGATGGTTTGAATTCCCCAGTACTAACGGGGAGGGAATGTGTGCCATTAATCGGTAGTGCAGAAGGAGGCTTGCCTAATACTCCATGCAAGTTGGAATTACTGAAGGATGGACCAGGAAGAAATGGGAGATCTAAAACCAGTGGCAAAGATCTAGAAAATGGATCCGGGAAAAGGGAGGGACCCCAAGATGGAAGCACATCCAAGAAGAGAAGTGGGGAAAGGCAAGACGAAGGTGGTGCAGCCAATGGTTTTTCAGATAGGGATTTTGAGTATTATGTGAAGGTGATTAGATGGTTAGAGTGTGAAGGACACATAGAAAAGAACTTCAGACAGAAATTTCTGACTTGGTACAGCTTAAGGGCAACCCCTCAAGAAGTAAGGATTGTGAAAATATACATTGATACATTCCTTGAAGATCCAGCATCTCTTGCTGAGCAACTTGTTGACACCTTCTCAGAATGTATATCAAGCAAGAGAACATCAGTGGTGCGGGCAGGGTTCTGCATGAAGCTTTGGCACTGACCATATTTTGTAGGTCCAGTTTGAAGCCCCTCCAGGGTTGTGAATTGTGATGCAGTAATTCTTTAGATTTCTATTATTCTTCATTTAGACAGTTATCAAATATATTTATTTCATCATTCTCATTCATATGATGATGTAAGAACTTTATATTTACTTTTATAAATACAGTTACTATTTCAAATTGGTAAAATTTTCAATTCAGGAACTCGGTCGGCACTATATTATCGTTAAACTCTTTGGTAGATAACATTAAAAGATTTGTGCTAAACTAAATCTTCTCTAGTTTTGGCCAGAAGAGACAATAGTGTGTCCTTTTGATACCCAGCTTTGTCTGAAAAAAGAAAATGGCGATCTTCAGTCTTTTACTGCTGAAGAGGCTCTCAATTTGTTTTAGTTTTGACTCATGGAATCTCAATCTTCTACCAATGTCTTGTACTGAACAATTTTTTTTGCGTAGACTGAGCCATCTGTGTAGATTAAGGGAACGATATATTGACACATCATTAATGAACAATACTTAAAACTAACCTAGATATGGTAATAAATATTAATGGGTTTGTCTAGAAATTCAAAATTCCACAACTTAAACTCCATTTTCAACCAAATGCTTGAACTTTGACAATGTTGGTCAAAATTCATACCCAGATAGTAAAGATGGGGGAATTTATCAGATGTTAATGTTGCTAGTTGAGTTCTGTTGTAAGCATGGAGCGATAGAAGTTGAGTTACTGATCGCTTGTTTGATGGAAGTTCCTACAAGAATATTGTGGTTTGTTAGACCAGCCTCGATCGTGATTATTGCAGTAATGGGTTGGTTAATGAAGCACTAAATTGCTTTTATTTGATGCCAATTCCTTAAAGTAATGATGGTTTTATGTGTGTGTGTGTGTGTGTCAGGAATGCTTGTTTCAATGAGAGGACAAATGAGAAATACCAGCATTTTTATTAGATTGCCATAGGTTCAAACTTGTGTAAAGTTCCCATGTTATTCCCACGGTATTCTTCTCACTTTATCTGTGTGCTCCGTAGTTCGGTTTTGCTTGTTTAAATTGAAGAAGCCATTCATAATTTGGCCAGTAAACAAGGTTGTTGAGACACTCACAATGTCCACATCCAACCAAACTTGTTTTCTGTGCATCAGAAAAGCCAAAGGAAAAAGGGGAGGAATCATTTGTTTATTTTATTGAATGGTTAAACTGTTTCTTCAACTTGCTAGCAAATATACCTCAGCACCAGGAATTGGCGGGGCCCTCTACCTTCACTCTTAATAAAAGTTAACAAACAATTGTGAAAAGGCAAGGGTTCTTGTACTATATGACTTTTGATGAGATCAAAGCTTTGTAGCCTAATTAAACTCACCATCTCCTTATACATCAGTGAAGCCTATTCCTTTCGTCCTTTTGTTCAACTATTCTTCCTTCTTCAAGATCAAACTTTGGTCTAAGTCATTCATAGTTGTATATCCTCTGTCTTCTCTTTTTTAACCAATCTTCCTTTCAACACCCCACTTGTGTAAAATGTCTGTTGGAACTTTCACAGCACCAGTTGCTGGGGCTGGCTTTGTTGGCTTGAAGTCCAACATGTCAACTCTTTGGCCTACTACAGAATCCATTTGTTGGAAAAGGAAGACTGTTTCCAATGGTTCTAAAACTCACTGCATGAAGGTGAAGTCATCTAATGAATTATCCACAATTGTTAAGATGGTTATATACTTTATATTTATTAGTACCCTCAAACTGTTCCTTTTTTTTTTCTTTTTCTTTCAACGACCTCTTTTGTAATATGCTTTAATATGTGATATGATTAAACTTGAAACAGACATGGAATCCCATCAATAATAAGAAGTTCGAAACACTGTCCTACTTACCACCCCTTTCAGATGACTCCATAGCAAAGGAGATTGACTACATGCTCAAGAAGGGATGGATCCCTTGCCTTGAATTTGATGAGGTTAGTTTAAGATAAATTTAGATTATAACGTAGATTTAAGTTTTTTTTTTCTTTGAAAAAATAATTAAATACAATAGATCTGTTTATATTGATTCATCTGGAATATTTACATGAAAACTAGCAATTCTCAAATTTTCATCATGATCCAATAAAACTTTAATGTTTATTATTATTATTATGAGGGTTGTTCTTAGGGTATATTTATTGAGAGGAACCATTCATTTTATGTTTTTCTATTGATGCTTTGGTTTTTTGTAAGCAACCTTGTATATGTAACTGATAGTAAGATTGAATTGAACTATGTGTTGTGTGGAACATGGAAAGTTGGGGTGTATACGTAGAGAAAACAGCCAGATGCCAGGGTACTATGATGGGAGGTATTGGACATTGTGGAAGCTACCAATGTTTGGTGTCACCGATCCTTCACAAGTGCTGAAGGAGATAAATGAATGCAAACAGGCATATCCAAATGCATATATACGCTGCTTAGCATTTGACAACCAGCGCCACATGCAGTCCATGGCTTTTATCATTCAGAAACCTGCTAGCACCACTAGCACTTGAGCCTTTTTGCTCTTATTTCTCTTCCAATCCTTGTTAAAATTCTCAATCTTTTCTCCTCTTTTTATTTTAAATGTAATGTGAAGTTTACTATTTACTCATCTAGCTTATATTATTACTGTTTGAGCAGGAATATAAATATGCTTCAGCTTTTGGTTTGATTTTCAATGCTGAAATGATTCGTTGATTGTCTAGGAGTATTATTATGATTCGTTGACTTGGAAATGATTCGTTAATTATTATGATACACTTTTAATTGTTCATTTTAGATATAAATTCTCTAGGAGTATTTTCCCCTTTTTATCAAAACCTTTATGCGTAAATTAACTGTGCTTTGGTCCCACTCCCGTGGTTGATTCCATGTTCAAGGATTGGGGGATTAAATATGTAATTTCCAACAACAACAAAAATTATGATGGATTGTTTGATTATGTTTTGATTTTTTTTTTATTCTTAAAACTATTTTGTAGAATAGTTAAGAAAATAAATGTTTTTTTTATTGAGAGATGTTATACTTACAACCTATTTTCGTTTACAACTTGTTATAACCATATCTTAACCGTTGATTTTCGCCAATCAACGATTATCATTTATTGCGAATTAATAATTAATTAATAAATTTGTTTTGCGAAAATTTTAACCGTTGATTGACAAAAATTAATGGTTAAGATATGGTTGTAAGAGGTCGTAAGTATAACCTTCTTTTTTTATTTATTTTTTGTTTTGAAAGTTAAAAACCAAAATACAAAAAATAAAATTAAAATAAAAATAAATCAGACATTTTCTTTAAATTTAATTATAAAAAAAACAATTACAATTTTTAAAAAAAAATTTACAAAAGAAACTTTACCAAATGAGTTTTAAAAATAAAAAAAATCAAAAAATTGTTTTTCAAAACGAATTTCAAACAAGTTGATAATTACTGGCAAAACCAGCCCATAGACTTCAGTATGTATCCTAAACAATAATATTTGTAATAATCAATTGAGTTAGTGGGTTATGAATACTCATGGATTTGACCTCTGCGCCCCTTGTTTCCTTGGAAGTGAAGCGTGAAAGTGGTCCACAAACAATAATTTAAGTTACTGAAAGTTGTCCTTTTATTTTAAAAATATAACGGTGAAGCACAAATGAATAAATGATGCATTTTTTTAAAGATTTTATTAATCTCATGTTAAAGAAGATAATCTCATGTCATAGAGATAAACTTGTGAATTCCACCACCTGAAAAATAAAAAGAAAAGAAAAGAAAAAGATGACACAATTATCGAAGGGTGTGTAGGAGATAAATTTATTACATGTATGTAGCATAAGAGTAATTTTTTTTCCTTTTTTTAATAAGCAAGCTATTGATAAGGAATAAATCATATAAATTCAAAAACATTTTTATCCATTAGAAAACTTAATTTTGAGGCTCAAACCAAGAATTGAATATAAAGATAAGCAACCAAACAATTTTGATACTAACTTTTAAAAGATTATTAAGAAAAGCACAAATAAATTGGGAAACCTTACTGTTTGCACACACGAAAATTTTAGTGCACGAGACTTCTACTATTGTGAGGTTTAAAGAGTCAGGGTAAGCAACAAGAAAAAAGTTCTGCTTTCATTACCCGAAATCATGACCATTGCGTTAAGACTCATATTCTAAGATTGACAGCAAAGATTAATGAAGCATTTGAGGCAGGAACCAGAATGTGTAGAAAATTATCTTACATGGGTCCTTATCCTATATTCTCACCAAGAATAATTATCGTATGAGGATCCTCAATGGAGGAATCATTGCGAGTCAACTCATGTTTCTATGTAGTACAAAGCTCTGCCTCACTCAGATTTCAGCACCGCATAAGATGTTTAGCTTTAATCCTCTGCGTTTCTTCCTGAGTGCAGTTCAAAGTTCACAACAAAACCAATCCCAATCATGGTCGTCCATTGGTCATGATATTGAAGTCCAGATACTTCAATCAAAGCTCGTGCATCTCAGGGATAATTCTTGCTGCTAATATCAATTTGAGGAATTCTTAAGTGCTCATCAAGAGTAATTAAATGTGTATAACGTTAGAATTCTGTTTAGATTTAGGTTAGCCAGTTAACAAGCTACCACATCAATTGGTCATGAGATTGAAATCCAGAATCATCTGACTCCATAATCAAAGCAAGTGCATCTCAAGAGGCATGCAGTTAAATCCACACACTGCATGAAAATTTAGCGAATTCTTTGAATGCTACTTGTCAATTAGATAGGTACGAAATATAACATGCCTAAAACAAATTACACTGGACGTTGAGCTGAAGGTAATACAAGAAGCTTTCATTTTCAGTCCCGCCAAGAGTTTCAGGCTCCAAGTTTCCATATGATTGAACCCCCACAAAAAGAAATTACCCATCTGCAATGAACAATGGCGATACTTGATTAAGCAAAAGACATTTTGTGATACGCACATGAACACATAAAATGAGGAAGACTATATTTGAGTTTTGCATGAAAATGAAAAAAATGGCCCCACTCATTCATAAGCCTCACCTAATTGGTTATTTGAAATTCGTAAAAATTTTGTAGAAATCAATTCATGCAAAATAGCACTACTCTTAAGCAAAACCAGCAACTCTCTAGATAATCTGCTGAACTTTTTTCATTTGTTACAGCTAAGAGGCATGCAACCAACATTGGTGTACACAAGAAAAAATTTCAATGCTGGGAAATTAGTCTTAGCATAATGTGTTTCGAAATTTAGGAACACAAGTTATACAAATGAAGAATATAATAGAATATTTATCTTTTTTTTTTTGGGGGGGGGGGGGGGGGGGGGGGGGACACATTATTATTATTATAAGCACACATGAATGTGGAGGGTTTTTCAGACAGGGGTTCACACCTTATGTTCCCACAGTCTAACTGCTTGTAATCTCTCTCTAGGCTCCAATCTTAAACTAAGCCTCTAACAAAGATAAGTTCATTCTACAAAGAGTCATGAATAACAAATACTTCGCATTCCTGAAGGTGCACAACTCAAAAGTTCCCTCCAACACGCCTTTCAATTCTTTGATAAATAGTCCCCAACATTGCATGTCCAAGAACGACTAGGTAGACAATAATGTTTTGCCTGCCTAAGAATCCTATGGTGTTTGCTTCTGCACGGACTGACTTGGCAGCATAGAAGCTTTGAATATGATACTATAAAGAGAATGTGATTTCCACAAGAATGAAAAAGGATTACACTAATTTGACTTGGAACATAGAAGAAAAAAATAAAATGGTAATTACTTTGTCACTCCTTCCTTCCCATGTCAGAATCTTCTCTTTGCACATGTGTCCACTCGGAACGGAGGCATGCACACTAACCCACCATCCAGCTTAACTTTTAACAATTAACCAATCCCATGTGTGTTTGACATGAATTTAAAAGGAATTTGAAGACAACCTCTGAATTTAACACAAAGCTAGGGATATGTAACGAGCCCAAACACTTCCATTGACAAGTATTCAAAACTCCACCCTAGTATACACATATTAAGACAAGAGTCTAAAGTATATTATATTACTACTCTCAACGCCCACATGTTTTCCTCAGATTATATCAACCTCTCCTCTATGTTAAAAACCCAAATCAACCCCACCTTAATTACGAAAAAAAAAAAAATTCCCCATTAAACCCCGACTAGAGAGGGTAGAGGTGGGGGTAATCCTTGTACGCAGTCTTACCTCTGCGTATTTGCAAAAAATCTATTTTCTGAAATCAAACATGTGACCTTTCAGTCACAAAGGAACAGTTTCAATACTGCTCCAAGATTCAAATCCCCCTTCATTGCGAAATTTGAAAAAATATATTTTTAAAAAATCAGAGGGAGGAGGTTGGGTGTTAGTAGTAATTACAGAAGGTTTGAGCAAGTTTGCATAGAGGGGAGGATAGTCAGTTTGTGTGACGGATAAAATGTAGGCAAGGAGAGAGTAATTTTATTCTAAGAGAAAGTTTGATAGGGGAGTGAGAGGGGGTTAAATTTTAACTGAGTACTGATTGATGTGCTTTTGTTGGCCAAGAAAAAAATAAAACTAGAAATTTTTCATGTATTTAATACTCTCCATTTTGGGAGTAATAGTTACCCTAGTCAGGCGTGGCGTAACAGAGCAGAAGAAAAAAAATAAAATACAGGGACCCAAACACAGAGTGATTGAAGATGAAGAAGGGGTGGATTGTGGAGGATGAAGAACGACGACAGTCCCATCCTCCACAATATAGATAACTGCCCTGCTACAAAACCGACAAAGATTGCTTGAATGAATTTACAACTAATAGTCTAATTTTATTAGGTCTTAGTCTTAGTTCCAGAGACAGTTTACAGATAAACACCGACTGAATCAATCTCAAGTATAAAACGTTTTGACAACACTCTAGCATCACAAGAGAGCTAACAACCACAACCCAATTGAGCTAATCTCAAGCTACACAAGAACGCGAAACTATAAAGATAATACATAAAAAGAATGGTACACTCCAACAACATAAAAAATAGCTATCAGCCGAAATTAGCTCCAGTGCAAACACACACGGTTACTACATCACTCAATTGAAAACATATATAAGCATAATCTGGAAGAGGAAAATAATTCAATTTTAAATCACATGCCGAACTAAGCTAAACCCTAACCTGATCGCAACTATCAAAGTCGAAATAAACCCTAATCCATCACTATTTGCTAGAGATGAAAGAAAATTGAACACACCTCAATCGCAATCTAGCGATTCTTCTCAGCAGGCAATGGACGATTAAAGCCTCCACGGCGGTTCATGTACTGTCTAGGTTGGCGCTTGGTGACGGCTCTGACGCCACTGACGTCAGCACCAGGAACGGGCTTTCCCTTGGTGGAGTCAAATCCCGTGGGAATCCCTAGCATCTTCATCATCTCCATCTCGTCCTCGTTCACCTCAACTTCTTCTCCACCTCCATTCTCCTTATGCTTCTGCTGCTGTTCCTTCGCGATCCCATCCACGAAATCCGACACCACTTTCTTCGTCTCCTTATGCTCCTCCTCCACAGAACCTCTCCGGTGACGCTTCCTCGGAGGGTCGGGGGTAGGCGTCCTGTTGCGACGCCGACGGGAGCGTTCGCCGGGAGAGCGCGAGCGGTCAGGGGAGCGCGTGTGGCGGGAGCGGCCACGATCAGGTGAACGCGTACGCGATCTCTTGCTGCGTCCTCGATCTCGTTCACGCTCATCCTTGTCTCTTCTTCGTTCCCTTTCTCTGTCACGAGTTCGGTCACGTTCTCGGTCTCTGTCTCGGTCTCGGTCACTCATGGTGTAACTGTAAGGTGGCGTTTGGGTTCATGGTTCACTTTGGCAAAGCCCTATAATAACCCACCCTTGCACCCTTGCGAGTAAGGCTTCGTGGGTACTAATCGTATTGGCATAACGAGATTTATTTGTTTGTAATTAACGATATTTGTTTTTTAAAATTCACAGTAAAAATTGATTCATAATTGACTTTGCCAAAAAAAAATTAAATATTTTTTTATCATGGTTTTTTGGGTTCAGAATTGATCTTTTTATTTGAAGTTCATAACATGAGCCCAAATGCCAAATTCGTTAAATATCTAAGTTGGGTTCAGCCCGCTATTTGGAAAGCAGATGGATCAATAGCAATGCTTGAGATATTGTATTTGTACCCAACTTAACTAAGGGACTGTTTGGATGAGTTTTTTTTTTTAAAAACCTGCTTTTTTTAAGGGAAAAAAGCACTTCTCGAATAAAATCTATTTGAATGTCTGCTTTTAAAAAAAGTAGAAGTCGTAAAAAAAGTCAAAAACTTACTTTTTTCAGAAGCTAAAAATTTTAGCTTCTAAAAAAAAGCATAAGTCAAAAGCCAAATACTTTTTTTCAAAAATCAAATATTTTTTAAAAATCTAAGTAGCTATAACTTTTATAGAAAGTGCTTTTAAAATAAGAAAGTCATAAAAAGGACTTTTTTTACAAGCCAATACAAACGAGCCCAAAGCCTATAAGCACGTCACTAAAACAGCCTTCAAATTTAACATTGTTTTTGGATTCTCTTTTTGATAATGGAATGACATGAAACTATTAGAAATATTGAATATAGAGAATAAGGGCAAAATTGATTTCATTGAAGAGTAATTAATTTGTATATAAATGAGGCTCTTATACAAAGGAGCAAAAGAAGATTCTAGAATAACTATGAGATTTGCATTTGTCATTTAACATGACACAACAAACTTTCCTACACATACAACATTTTGTGGGGCCTACACTTTTTGAAGAAAAAAGAAAATAAAAAAATTACGGCACGCAAAACGAATCTCTATAACATTACACAATCACTTTTCCTACAACATAACTCTTATAAAACCCAATAACTATATACCAAAAATATCCTAAATAATATTTCTATTTCTAATATTCTCGCTCAAGATGGATATTAAACACATTGAACTCCCATCTTGAACAAGAAAAAAAAAAAAAAACAATTGCAAAATATAATGAAACGTCAAAAATCTCCTTCTAAATGAGGAACCAAAAACAATGATGCTAAAATGGCGTGAGAATGGCCATCGAAGAAATAAAATGGTATCGGGATGGACATCGACAAGATCAACAGAGTTGGAATGAACATCAGCAATTTTGAACAATGCTCCCCTTGAATGGAGAACCAAAATTTGCAGTGTGCTGGAATGAGCTTCAACGAAATAATTGATACAGATATGGACATCGGCAAAAGCAACAATGTCAGGATTACGAAAAGAAATAGTGCCAGAATGAACATAAACAATAATGCTGGAATAACAATAGCACGAGAAATCCAATAATATGACTAAAATGGCCATAATACAAGCCACAAGCCAACAAAACACCAGAAAAATCAAACACTACAACAACAAAAAGTCATGAATAAAATTCATCAAAAACTACAATGACACTAGTATTGCAATAAAATCCATGAGCTCCATAAACCTTCACGGGCTTACAAAATGAGAAGAGAAAGAGAACAAATAAATAAATCCGAAAATAAAAAAAAATGTCAGAGAGCCAGATAGACATGGCTGAAAGATGGCTAAGAAAAAAAATGGTGTGGGAAACAAATAGCAACTTCATCCAAAATGGCCAAAACATGGATGGCATGGCATTCATGAATAGTGAAATAATGATAAAAGATCATGCGAGGACCTCTAGATAAAGGGAAGTCTAAAAGCATCATACCGAAAAACTTAACTAGATAAAAACCATTACCTATGTCAATAATGGTGATAATATCATTTTACACCCACATCTTTTGTAGCTTTCCTTCCGATAACTTCTTAAACCAAATCTTTCTTTCAAGTAAGTGTGGATTGTTTTCATAACTTGAACACCCTAACTGCCTCTTTTATTTATCTTTCAATAGTTTGTTAGGTAGTTAAGGGGAGCTAAATAAGGGAGACATACCAATAGAATCCAGTAAATATCAGTGAGCTAAGCAATAATTTATAGTAAAGGTCTTGATATTTCATTTAATTCAAAATCTCGAAGTAAACAAGTTTTTGGATTTATTCACTTAAATTGTTCTTGTTTAATCCATTTAAAACCAACATAATATTTTATTGTTCACATTTATTTATTTATTTTTAAAAAAACACACACAAACACTTCAAATAGTAATCATATTCGTGTTCCACGTATTCATGTAAAATGTGCATTCCAAGGACATTTTAGATATTCTAAACTGTATGTTATAATTTTATAAGAATATAAATTAAAATATCATTTTATTATGTCTACAATGACTCGAGCTAGCTTTTAAAACATCAATACTCTCTTTTGATTTTAGATTTGTATCAATGATATAATTAAGGGTTTTCCCTATAATTATATACTTATATGTTGTACTAAACCATGTCAAATTAATATTAAAATCAGTTGAATTTATTCGTACAGATCTTATTATATCCAGGTCTGGTATTGTATTGGTGATATTTCACAGAAATATCTATGTTCTTGCTAATCCGTAGCTTTATCTTTTACCAATTCTTCATCTTCTTAAGAAAAGCAGAGAGAAACCACGTGCGAAAGGTTGAGCACTACTTTTCAGAACAAGTTTGACACATTTTTAAAAAAAAAACAATTAAAAGTTACGTTTAAGTTTAAGTTAAAAAAAATTACCAAAAAAAAACTTTAAAAATAAAGTTAAAAATTGATTGACCATTATATAAATTTTTTAGCTTAAAAGTTATTTAAAAGCTATTAATTTAAAAAAAAAGTTGATACAATTTAAAAAAACTCCTCCTAAAAGGAGAAACTTTTGACTTTTTTTCTCATTATAAAAAAAAAGCTCTTTTTATTATAAAAGCTTTTGTAAATACCTGTTTGATCTAGCTAGGGGTGTCAAAAAGGGTTGACACAACACGAATTTGACACGACATGAATACATCAACACGAACACGACAAAAAAATTTTACGAGTTGATACGACACGAATAACACGTAAAATAGGGGTCAAAACGGTAATTGACAAAAAAAATTAAAAAATGGGTTGAAATTAAAAATAAAAATAAAAAATATGGGTCAGCACGAACATGGCACGATTTTTTTTGCAGGTCAATCCGAACATTGAATTTTCATGTCGTGTCGCGGGTCGACTCGCATGTCATAACCTATATTGACACCCCTAGATCTAGCCTCTGCTTATAAGGAGAACAGAAGCAACAAAAAAACCCCTCCGAAACAGACACTTAATATTATTTTTGCATCTTCTATGGAGGTCTTCTTCCTCAATAAAGGATGGAGCTTGGTACTCTACCTGAGATAATAAGTTTTCAACTTTGAAGTTGTGTTTGCAAACCGTAGGCGAAATAGCATTTGCAAATTTGTGATAAGAAAACAAAAAAACTATAAAGAAGTTTAGAATGTCCATTCCAGTATTACAACAATACATTTATGTAGAGGTTGTAAAGATAATTTTTAGTACTCCTATATTACTAGAATTATTTTTTTTTACCCTTTTGGCCTTAATTAAATAAAAAATAACCATTATACCCCCGTTCCAAAACACATCGCTTATGTGCCCTTCTTCAATCGATTAACTGAGCTATGTAATCGATTAAGTATCGAAAATTTTAAGTTAACAATTACGTAATCAATTAACTTATTAACAGGTATAAAATAAGTGCCCCTGTTTATAGCTTAACTTGGGTCATCAATTCTTAACGTTTTGGAACCAAGAAAAACCTATTTCTTTGTTTTGATGGTTTTTCTTTCTGCAGAGAGTCTTGTCTAATCATGTCATCATCCCTCGAGTGCTTCCTCGGAGACCAAATTAGAAAAAGAGAAGAGAAAGAGTTTCTTGGACCATATATTGACGTGACTGTTAACTTTTGTCAATTAAGAAAATACGATAGGCAAGGCACGAGAAGCCGCAACTTCTTTGTTTTATTACTAACTCCTATGCTGCAGTTCCCTGCATTATTTTCTGATATCTTTCTTTTCATCGGATTTCTCAAGGAAATTAGCCTATATGTATTCCCTAATAGAATGTTCATTGTTCTGTGTCTTTGATTGTCTTCTATGCTCTCATTCCATATATGGGTAGAAAACTAAAGCATAAATAAATAAATTGATTTATGATGAATATTAATTATATCATGAAAAGTTTAACATTGAAAATAATGATATATAATTATCCATATTATAGTATCATTTGTCTTATACTCATTTTAACCAATGGAGCTTATTTGAGATGGTAAAGTATCTAATCATTCTTGTGCTTTATGTATTTTTTATGGCAACTAAACAAAACCTCGATCATAATCGATGCATCAAAGTATATCGACAAACTAAAGCGAAAAGTAGAAAGAGTACTGAATCAAGAAATAACCTTTACTCCAGAAACTTCAAGCGACCATAATACCTTACCTATGGTATTTTCTTAATTGACAAAAGAAAGATATCAGAAAATAATGCAGGGAATTACAGCACGAGAGCTAGTAATAGAACGAAGAAGTTGCGGCTTCTCATGCCTTGCTTAGGGTATTTTCTTAATTGAAAAAAGTTAACAACCATATCAATATATGATCCAAGAAACTCTTTCTCATCTCTGTTTCTAATTTGGTTCTCCAATCTCTGGTCCAGATTCTCCAACTTTGGTGAAGCACTCGAGGGATGGTGACATGATTGGACAAGACTTTCTGTACAGAGACGAACCACCAAAACAAAAAAATGGGTCTTTTTTGGTTCCCAGAACGTTAAGAATTGATAACCCAAGTGAAGCTGTAAACAGGGAAACTTATTTTATACCTGTTAATAAGTTAATCGATTACATAATCGGTTAACTAAATTTTTTTGATACTTAATCGATTACATAGCTCAGTTAATCGACTAAAGAGGAGTACATGTGT